ATACTTAAAAATTGTTAAAATGATATATTTTATGTTATGTATATTTTACTGCAATAAACAAAATAGGAAATTCCAGCCTAGAATGAGAGGTTTAGGCCACACAACATTCCTTTAGCACTTAGCACCTGTGGGCATTGTGAACAAGGATGACAGGAAAGTGTTACACATCCTTCTTTAAGGGAATCTTTCTGAAGGTCTCAAAAAATGGAACAAATGTACCTGCTTCCAGATTGCTTACTCTACCGTCATGCATGACCACAAGACGGCCACAGAATTCTGCAAACATCCCACTGTGGAAAGCATCATACTCAGAGCTACCTTAGAGTGAGACCCAGAGACAAAGCAGCCATTTACGTTGCCTTCTTTTAGCTACTCACAATGAAACATTTGCACAGAAAGACACCTGGAGGTGGAAGACTTGTCAATGGCACTTGAGATGAAGCAGGCAGCACAGCAAGGCCGGCCCAAGAGCAGACAGCCATGACTAAAGTCCCCAGGGTTCCAGTTGGTTCCCAGCCAGGTTGACTCAGGATTTCCTCTCCCAGGAGTGTTGTGAAGTGCCCCAGGGCAGGCCCACCTGGGGCCTGGCCTGTCTTTCTTTGATGTGGATGAATGGCTGGGTCCAGGAGAGACACAAGCTAAACGCAGTGACTCAGACTCTGGTTCACTGGCTTTCTGGTCAGGGCACTGCAGAAGACAGCCCATTTCTAAGTCTCAGAAGTCAGGGCCAGCAGAAGGGTGGAGTGCAGAGGCTCTGCATCCCCGCTCTAAGCTGCTCTGTCCACCCCCATGCTGCTTAGCTGAGGCTCCTTGAGGAGGGTCAGACTCCCAGATGGAGTCACAGCCCTGAGACTGATACTCTGAGCAGTCTGGATGGTAGGATTCTATCTGATGAGCCTGACCAGCCTGTCTGAAAGTGTAGATAGTATGACAGAACCTTTGGATGTTAAGGAATATAAGATCCTCTCAACCACCCACAAGTAAGGGGAATTTGCTATAAGAATACACATTGCTTTAAAAGGGACAGGATCCTGGGGAGAGCCAGGTCTCCAAGAGATCCAAGCTGGATGGGCATTTGGGATCCATGGCAGCTCTAGGCCTGGGCCGTGCTCCTTCCCCCCAACAGAGTGAGTGTGTAGATCTGACTCTAGTGCTCTTCAGTTCACGTGGCTCAGGGCCCTTCTCTGCTGATTGCATATTGATCCTCTCATCTCCCACCCCATGTAGCTTTCTTCTGCCTCCATGTAGCTGCCAAGTCCTCCTAACATTGATTCTGGAAGCACCTTGTTCCCTCCAACCTGATGCCCTCTCTCCATACATCCTGCCTGCTTTGCCTCCCATTACCAAACTCCTGATTTTGCATCTGTATTTCCCATTTCAGATTCTACATACACAGAAACAGAGGTAAGTAATCCGGATGGCATGGCTAAGAAGACACAGTTTTCATTTGGGGGACTTTATAAGATGCTAACATCTCATGGATTAGCTGCTCACAGGACAGGCAGGGCCGCCACCCTCCGCAGCGGTGTGGATGTGGTACTTTCCAAAAGGGCACCAGGCACCACCCTCAGGAAGCAAGGCTATGTCTTCTCAGTGCCTTGCCCCTTGGCACAAATTAGCCAGCAGTCCCAAAGTAAAAACAGAGTGGATAGATATTCTTTCATAACATTATTCTACTTTACGCTGTCTCAAATTCCTCCCTGCCTTTTCTTCATCCTGCATTTTAAGCCATTTCTCAGCTTTTGGCACAACCCAAGCAGGGAACACATTTTCCCTTTCCTGGTCGTATTATTTACCTTTCTAAACCATTCATTCATTTACTCATCTATTTACTCAATATCCGTTGAATACCTGCGTCGTAACTGGTGAAATACTAGACAATGAAGACTTTAAATTCACCCATCTTCTCAATAAACGTTAATTGACTGCTTACAAAGTGCCAGGCATTGTGTTACTTGCTGGGAATAGAAAGATGACTAAGACACAGTTGCTGTGTGATACATAGCAAAAACTGAATAAATATTTTCTGAGGAAAGGCAAGTATTTTGACAATTACAAGCAGAGCAAAAAGGGCTATCCTGGGGAATGTCCACAGGAAGACAGGCCAAGAGAGACAAGAAAGGTATTCCTGCAGACACTAATGTCTACACTGAGACCTGCAGGGCAAGCTGAATTAGCCAAGTGAGAGGCATGAGAGGGAGCCCAAGGCCTGCAGGAAGAACAAATGGTTTGTGGGAAGGCTCGCAAGTTAGGAAGGGTGTGCTCTGGAGGGGCAGCCATGGGGGACAGAGAATAAATAAATCAGTGTGATTATGATTCTAGGAACTGAGATGGAAGTCTTTATGTGGGATGGCACAACTCCATTTAAAGACATGGTCAAATTATAGTTTTGGAGTTCTCCTAGGACCTTATTGCTGTCTGCATCCAATTGTCAGAAGGACATGGAGATGGTCTGGAAGGCATGTGTACAACTTCCGCTCATATTCATATTCTGTTGGCAAGAGCTGGTCATTGGGATTTTCTTAACTACAGAAGAGGCCGCAAGAGGTAATCTGTATTCCCAGGAAGGAGAGATTATTGGTGGCAGCTAAAACCATGGAGAGTTTCCAGGGAGTGGCATATCCAGAGCTGGGCAGCCACTCCTGATCCAGCTCCTCTAGAGTGCCTGCTAGTGGCTGCCAGGGAAATCTGCCGGCAGACAGACAACTCAGGACCTGGGGAAACCTCTGGAGCCCAGGGCAGCACTTGTCAGTCCAAGGCAGTTTTGTGGGATGCAAGATCTTTTCTTCCAAAGTGAGGTTTGAAAGTTGTGTGTTCAATCTCCAGACCGAGGTGGATTTTCAGTAGGAGATTGTCAAGAACTATGAAGGTCCTGAACTTTTACCTGACTGGAAAGCTGACAAGTTAGCTTGTCATGGATTCATGGGTACTAATGGAGACATGAGATGCCTGGGTCATAGAAAAAGAACTTTTTAATTCAGAGCAATCACAGTGGTCAGAGTGTCATCACATTTTTTTTCACCTGTTCTCCAATACCATTTCCCACAGGATGACACAAAAGAAAAAGGTGACACCTGCACATGTAGTAGGATGTGATATAAGAGAAGAACTTTGAGTTTGGGGAACCTGAACCTTTCATAATGGGCAGTAAACAGGCCTGCTTTTTTTCTGGAGATTGACACTGTCTCTATCTTCCAAAGCTCTAAGCAATTTTTCCTTTTCCCTAAAGTGGGACACTCTATTTTCAAAGGCTGTTCACTTTATAAACATCCTAGAAACGACAGTCTAGAAAAAAAGGCAGCCAGAGCCTCTGCTTGTAAAATGCACAGAAATATGAGAGACACTTGAATTTGTCTCCCAACAAAGACAGGTTCCTCTTTAGCAAGGTAGAGTGTTCTTTAGATAGAAGCTTTCTTCACTAAATCCTTCTCTTGATCTCTAGATCTTCCCTATATACATTTACCTCCTGGGGGATCTCATTCAGCCACATATCTCTGAACTCCATCAGGCTTATATCTTTAAATCCATGCTGATAATCTCCGATTTACAATTTGCACTTTAACATTGCCCCCATTTCCAGACCTAGATATCAAACTGCCTATATGGCGCCTTCACTTGGTTGTCTTCTCGCCATCTGAAACTTACCGTGTTCTTGATCCTCATCCTCCACATGAAACCTGATCCTTCCTCAATGTAACCCCTCTCAATAAAAAGTATCACTCAGTTGTGCCAGCCAGAAACCTCTTTCTTTCATATTCACATCCAATCTATAAGGACAGCCAGGTTTCAAAATAGATCTTGAATCTGATCACCTCTCTCCTCCTGCACCACCTTCACCCTGGTCCCAGCCACCATTGTCTCTGTTCTTAACAGCCATGTATTCCTTTCCTATCTTGCCCCATTCACCTTCCAATCTTGCCCTATACATTCTAACTTCTGCAGCAGCCAGTGTGGTTCTTCTGAAATGTAAATTAAACAATATCATTTCTCTGCTTTCAACCTTCCAATGACACTCAAGGCATAGAACAAAATTCAAGGTCAAGATTACATATGATCTGACCTCTGCCCCCAAACCTGATCACCTTGTCTCTGTCCCTTCTTGTATTCCACTTGCCCTTGAAAACACCTGCCATTGGGCTGTCTCGGGCCTTTGTACTTAGCTGTGTTGTCAGAGTCATCTAGTGCTCTCTCAGATGCCGGTTGGTCTGGGACACCCTCCCTGACTACTGAAAAGAAAACAGCACACTCTCTTGCCCCTCTTTCCTTTTACCCAGACTTATTATGACTCATAGCCCTGGCTACTCCCTGATGTTAGGAGTCTATCTTCATTGACTGCCCTGCAGCCTAGAATATATGCTGCATGGATCGAGGGCTTGGTTGTGTTCACTGATGTAGCCTCTGCTTCAAAAATAATATTTGACAGAAAGTAAATACTCAATAAGTACTTGTTGAATGAATGGATAAATTAATGAATAATAGTTAATACTGGATTTTTAAAATGACAGTAACAGAGACACAAATAATTGGTGCCTTGATCTTTCTTCTTCAAGTTAAATAAAATAATTTTATATAAATTGTCTCCCAAAATGCATATCTTCCAATTCTTCAATAATTCTGGATTGTTACTGCAGAATTCTTGCCATGTTTTTCCAGGTTCTTGGACATGATGGAGTTCAAAACTGAACATAATATAGGCATCAGAGAAAAGCCTAAGTAGTCTATAATTAGCTTCTCTCTTTTTATGGTGTATTTTATTTTAAAAATTATTTTATTTTCATTTTTATTTTTGTGGGTATATGGTAGGTGTATATATCTGTGGGGTACACGAGATGTTTTGGTACAGGCATTCAATGTGTAATAATCACATCATGGAAAGTAGGGTACCCATCCCCTCAAGCATTTATCCTTTGTGTTATAAAAACCCATTTATACTCTTTTAGTTATTTTTAAATGTACAGTTAAATTATGGTTGACCATAGTCCAATTCCCTCTGTTTACAGGTTTTGCATGCTTACCTAGGAATGCTCCTTGAAAAGATAATCTCCTCGGACATAAAAGCCCAGCCACAAAAAAAAGTCTCTCTAAGGTCAGCAGTTTCGAGATGACGAAGTGAAAATTTGATTCTAATCTGTTCACGGACTCTACAAATCCCAAAATGTCTTCCTGAAGAACCCAATGGGGGGAGAATACAAACAACCTCATGAACTTAGCTATTGATCATATATATTTTGAATTGTCACTCTTTCACTCAACAAATAAATGTCTCCCATGTGCCAAATCATGGACTAAAAGTTGGAACAGCACATTGCAAAGAGAACTGGTTCCCTAGCCTGAGGGTTTCAGAATCTTGGGCACCGTCGTTTCTGTTTTCATCTTTGTTGTCGTTGTTTTAAGACATTCTTATTTTTATTTTCTTTGATTTTTATATGTTATGGTTATTTCCAATAACATTTTTAAGAATTTTTTACTTATAAAAATATATTTCATTTAATTTGAAAAATAAGGAAACAGCACTTTGCTTTTCCTAGCCTGCTTTCTCATTTACTGTAAGACAATGATTTTTCTTTTTCAGGGTTTATTTCCATTCTTTGCAAAGGATTTAACAATGAAATACAAAAATCTCAGGTATTTTCATTTAGCTCATTTTTTACTTTTCTTACATATAGGCTATATGTTTTATTTAATATCTTTACTATTTACATTAAATTAAAATTATTTTAGAAATGACTATATTTCAATTGCTGTTTTGACATTTCATTGATCAATATTTCCCTAAAGATATTAACTTTCTCTAGGATACAGAGAAACTAACAGAACTTACACAAAAATTTCTACTGAATGAATTTCCCCACCTTCTTGGTGATTGTACACCTGCCTTCCTTATAAGGAGAACAAGGAAGTAAATCACGTTGAAGTTGCTTTTAAACACAGCTTTTCTGCTTTACCTGTCCAGGTAGCCTCTGTTTTCATTTCAGTCTTAATGAAAACACTCTAAATCACATCTCAAGTTTCTTTTCAAAGCAGTGTAAGTAGTATTTAAAATGTTATACTTCAAGAAAGAAAAACTTTAACGATACTCAGCTTTGGTCTTGAAACACTGAAGGTAATTCATTTTTTAATCGGTCTGCACAGCAAGAACTGAAACGAATGGGGATTGAACTGCTTTGCCTGTTCTTTCTATTTCTAGGAAGGAATGATCATGTACAAGGTAAGACCAGTGTTCTCCGATATATTGCTTTCATGGTATGCTTGACAAACCTGTCATTTGGTTCAGAAAGTAGATCTGAAGTCATTTTTTATTTGATCTGTTCCATTGCTCTTTTGTCACTGAGTGAACACTTTACAAATTACAGGCAAACAGCGGGCAGTTCCCATAGCGAATGCTGTAGGCTTAAGGTAAATAAATACAAAGGTTGCACAGGCATTTTAAAGAGGAGAATTAAATAGCATTACTGCCCTATAGGACTTAGTGCCATTGTAATAACCATTTTGAAACTTTTCTATTTTATTCTACCACAAGATCTTCCACTTAAGAGTAATAATCTTGAAAGAGAAAAAGGACTTATTTCAAAAACAGAAATACCTCATTTAAGAGAGAAGCATTTTTTAATGGATGCAAGTAATTTTTAAAAATTACAGTGGCACATATTGGCTAATAATAAATAGGATAATTCTATATTTGTGAACTTCCACATTTTAAGAAAAAAGAGGATGATAATTTCAGCTTGAAAGACATACATACTTTTTAATATATGTACACATGTTTTACATGTGATAGATGTAAAATACAAACTTTTATGTGACTTGCTAACATTTCGAGGAATGATCTTGGATACTAAAATTAACTTTGATGTTGTTTTGTTCAAGTAATTTAAGAGCTATCAGTCTGATAAATGGAATGAGTGAAAGTGTACTTAATTCCTGCGTCTTGCTGGGTCTACACCTAGGTGGCTGTACCCTGGGAGGTGCAGAAACCTGTGAAGACTGCCTGCTCATTGGACCTCAGTGTGCCTGGTGTGCTCAGGAGGTAAAACGAATGACCTCAGCGTGTTTTTAAAACTTGTCTGCAGTTACACTCATGTTAATTTCTTCAGAGATAGTTCTGACTGTGTCTTGCTTTTTGTGGAATTACACGAGTAAAACAAATCAGGAAAGGAGAAGGTGAGCATTGGTGGATCAAAATGGCATTCATGTGATTACTTTCAAAAACAATTTATAGAAGGAGTGGATGTCAAATTATTCTGAAAAAATTCTTAACTTGGGATTTTTCATTTTACCTGGTTCCTTCTCTTATTGTAAAACCATTTCTAACTGGTTACATGTAAAATATGGAGTTTGTCTGGATAATCAGAGACCATGGAGATGATATTTTCTAAAGTTAAACATACATTTGATGTTCATATTATAGTTGTATTCCATCTGGTACCGGGATCCATTCTGAACTACTACTAGCTTCTAAGACATGTGTTCTAGGTTTGGGGCAAATATTACTTGTCAGACATGATCCAGATCTTTTAAAAATTAAATTTTCATAAATTCAGTGACTCTGTACCACACCAATGAAAAAGTTCCAAACAGGCTCTCCTTATCTGGTCAAACTGAAAACCATGTGAAAGCAGTATGAAGATGATTGGGGACTATGCAGCAAGCCATCCTAAGACACTAGAGAGCGATGTCTAATTGATTCATGGTGAGAAAGACAGGCATTAGCTCTCTGAATTTTAAAACAAGTCTCTACCCACTGGATCTCATAAAGATAATCTAAACATAAATCAAATCATGCGAATGCCAAGTTCAGCGAAAGCTGAGTAGCATGCTCAAAGAGAAACAAACCTCGACACCAAACTCAGAACTGGGCTCCACCTGTAGAAACCCAAATTCCGAGTTCAGTGTATATCCATGAAGGGCGGCCTCACAGACAAGAGAGCACAAATGCAGCTCACTCCCCTACCACAGCCTTGACCGATGCAGCCACAAACAAAAGTCCAAGAGAATTATGCTTTTTTCGAGTTCCTGTATCAAAGCAGGAAAATATACAAGGAAAATCTATGAACCTCACTGTTTCAAGGATCTGGTCATGGCCTGGGAAGAAGCTTTAAAGAAGTGAGCTTAAGACGCACACATACACGCGCGCAGGCACACAACTGTTACATGAATTCAATTGAATATAATTAAAAGGAGATGCCAGGTTTACTCAGACTTTTACTGGCAGAATTCTCTGGTTATTCGCCTATAACTTAACTTCAGACCTATAATCAATGTTAGTCATGTAGGCATACAACATGGCAAGATGCTTAACTAGCAAAGTATGCAGAAAAACTTTCAATTGCTGGTATCTTTTAAGAAATTCAGTGTTGTTTTCTTTTTCTAGTTATTTTTTTTTCTTTTTTCTTTTTTAGAATTTTACCCGTCCATCTGGAGTTGGTGAAAGGTGTGATACCCCAGCAAACCTATTAGCTAAAGGATGTCAATTAAACTTCATCGAAAACCCTGTCTCCCAAGTAGAAATACTTAAAAATAAGCCTCTCAGTGTAGGCACACAGAAAAATAGTTCTGACATTGTTCAGATTGCGCCTCAAAGCTTGATCCTTAAGTTGAGACCAGGTATGTTAGGATTTGGCTCATGTAAATAGATCTAATGTCATTTATGGTAATTCTTCTACTCCACTAATGTGTCTTGTATTGTATTACATATCATTGATTATTATGCCTCGAATTTCCCATTCTTAAGGAAATAGAAAATTGCTAGGCTCACACTTTTCTTTATTCACATTGGTCCCTGGCACTCCAAATGTGTTACTAAAGAAGCCTTCTCTAATAGTAACCATTTAAATTACTCAAATGTTGCTAAGGCTTACCTCACATTTCTTCAAGGGTTGTAATGTAGATTTAAACTCTCTTTTATTTGATTCCTCTTTTCTAAAACGGCGCACAAAAAATTCAGCTTATCTTCTATCTAAATGGATGCTAGCTCTCCCAAGGAGATATAAAATATCCTAACTTATCCTCCAGTAGTTCTAAACTCCCCGCTGAAAAAGTTTCATGGGTTGGTTCATTTAGGATCTTGACTTTCAGTAAGTTCTTTCTGATGTGCAATAGCCAGCTGACCCAGCAATTGGCCAGTTGCAAATGAATCTCAGTGTGTTTTTCTGGGTTTGCTTTTCCTGTTGGGCTTTGCAGGTGGTGCGCAGACTCTGCAAGTGCATGTCCGCCAGACCGAGGACTATCCAGTGGATTTGTATTACCTCATGGACCTCTCCGCCTCCATGGATGATGACCTCCACACAATCAAGGAGCTGGGCTCCCGGCTTTCCAAGGAGATGTCTAAATTAACCAGCAACTTTAGACTGGGCTTCGGATCATTTGTGGAAAAACCTGTATCCCCTTTTGTGAAAACAACACCAGAAGAAATTGCCAACCCTTGCAGGTAAGTAAATTATTCTCTTGGCATCTTCGTGCACTGATTTTTTGTGGAGATACCCCGGCTCTAAGCTGCACTTGCCAGGAGCTTGCTAACTCCCTGGCATTTCTGCCTTGTCTGGTTGGATCTCAGCAGTTCTCTCCAGTGCCTAGGTTGCTTGGAGTGGAGGGGAGGTCATCTGAACTACATGGTTCTAGCGGTGGGTTCTTGCAGCCTCTGCATCTGCCTCCCAGTGTAGGGCAGGATGTAGGAAACCAGAATGTGTGTTATGCAGACAAAGGGACCAAGGCTTTCACCATAGGCTCCACTGGATGGTACCTCACCCAGTCTCTCACACACTTTCTAGTCTCAGTGGCCACCACTTTCTGAGGTTATTGGAGAATAACCTTCACTTTCCCAGAATGTTTCTCCACAACAATGACTTCGGGCAAAATAATAATTTTTGCAACTTTCTCCGATGTACTTTGGGAAATATTTATTTCTCCTATTGCTAGGAGAAGGCCTGGGCAGCCTTCACAGCTATTAAATTCAGTAGTAAATGACTTCATAGGCAATGACTCCATTCTAATATGTTATAATAAGCTATTAAAATCACATATTATGCAGGTGATGGTGGAGGACAAATTGCTTTGTGATGGCTTACCTGTTAAGTGAATGACATGTTCAGAAACAAAGTATTTAATATTCTCCTATTGAAAAACAGCTACTATATGCTCTATGCCAGACCTTGTGCTGACGGTTTTACATACATGACCTCATACAGTCTTCATAACAGCAGGTTAAAGCTTAATAACACCAGCCCTATACTCAGAAAAAATAAGAGGCTCTGAGAGATTAGCTATTTGCCCAAGGCCAAATGACTAACCCATGATCTGTACCAATATTCAATTTGTCCCCAAAGCAAGCCCATTACTACTATACATCTAATATATATGAAATAATTTTCCAAATGTTTACTGGCTTATAATACTTTTATACACCAAAAGCATCAATCTCTATAAAAGATAAATAGCTTTTATTATACCATTTAAAAAAATCTCAATGTAGCTCCCAACTACAATCCAACATAATCAAAAATAATTAAACCATAAAAGAAACTTATCAATGATTTTAACACTTAAAAATTCTGTTTGGTTTTAAATATCTGCGATGGTGGCTTAAAAAGGGAGGTTTTTTGTTTGTTTGTTTGTTTTTGAGATGGAGTTTCACTCTGTCGCCCAGGCTGCAGTGCAGTGGTGTGATCTCAGCTCACTGCAATTTCTGCCTCCTGGGTTCAAGCAATTCTCCTGCATCAGCCTCCTGAGTAACCGAGATTACAGGCGCCCACTGCCACGCCTGGCTAATTTTTGTAGTTTTAGTAGTGACTGGGTTTCGCTATGTTGGCCAGGCTGTTCTCAAACTCCTGACCTCAAGTGATCCACCTGCCTTGGCCTCCCAAAGTGCTGGGACTACCGGCATGAGCCACTGTGCCCAGCCAATATTTTCTTCTCTTTTTTTATATAAGGACCAGAGGAAGGCCATTCAGGGCTGTATGGCAGATTCATAAACAAGAGGAATCCAGGCCTTTTTCTGCTCTCTGCTTCACCATTATTGACACTTGTATTTTATCTTCATGGTCCAAGAATGGTGCCGGGGCATTAATCATCACTTCTTCATTTCAGTTAGGAGGAAAGGAGGAAAATAGGGGCAATAAGGACACTGTCTGCCCACTCCCCCACAATTCCTTGTGAGGTATAGTTGACATGCCTAAAATGCACAGATGGAAAATGTTTAATTTGATGTGTTTTGATGGTTAAATATACCATTGCAATCAGTATCCAAAACATGATGTAGAATATTTCCATCACCTCAGAAATTTCCCATTACAGTCAGTTCTATTACTTCAGAGGCAACCACTTTCCGATGTCTATAATTTATATTGGTTTTGCCTATTCCTGAATTTTATATAAATACGTAATGTAGTATACGCCCTCTGTGTTTGGCTTCTTTGGTTCAACATAATGTTTTCAAGATTTACCTATGATTTTTGTATGTATCAGGAGTTTGCTTCTCTTTGTTTCAGTTAATAATCTATTGTATTTATTTACTATATTTTGTTTACTCATTCTTTCATTGGAGGACATTTGGGTTGTTTCTATTCTAGGGGGCTATTATGAAAAGGCTGCTGTGAGCACTTGCATTGAAGTCTTTGCATGGATATATGCTTTTACTTCTTTTCAATAGACACCTAAACTGGAATTGCTGAACCGTATGATACTTCTAATTTTTAAAGAAACTGCCAAATTGTTTTCCAAAATGAATGTACCATTTTGCATTTCCGTCAGCAGTGTGACAAGGTTCCAGATATTCTACATCCTTCCTGACACTTGATGTTGTCAGTTTTTAAAATTTTAGACATTCTAATAGGTGTGCAGTAGTATCTCATTGTAGCTTTAATTTGCATCTCCTTAATGATGAATAATGTTGAGCACCTTTTCCTGTGTTTATTTGCCATTCCAATTTATTTTTTGAAGCTTCTTTTGAAATCTTTTGAAACCTAAGATTAGACTATCTTTCCAACATTGTGTGGTAAGAGTACTTTATATATGCTGGATACAAGTTTTCTGTCAAATACATTTTGCCAAATATATACATATATTTGTCAAAAATATTCTCTCCCAGTTTATGGCTTATATTTTAATTTTTCTGAAAATGCCTTTGGTCAAGCAAAACTTTTTAATTTTGATGAAGCCCAGCTTATTAATTTTTAATTTTATAGTGTTTTTTATGTCCTAATAAATTTTTGCTTACTGTAAAGGTCACAAAGACTCCTCTTATATTTTCTTCTCGAAGCTTTGTGGTTAATGTGATTACATTTAGGCTTCTGATCTCAAATTAGTTTTTGTATTTGGAATGAGAAAAAAAGGTCTAGATTGATTTTTTTGTTTCCATAGAGATATCTAGTTGTTCAAGCACTATTTGTTAGACAAGATTTTCCTTTCCACATTGAGTTATCTTAATGTCTTTGTTGACAAGCAATTGACCATATATGTGTGAGTCTAATTCTGGACACTATTCTGTTTCATTGATCCATTGAATATAACCACGTAACCACTAATGCCTCACTACCTCCCTTACTGTAGCTTTATAGACAGTCTTGAAATCAGGAGCATAAGTCCTCCAACTTGTCCCTTCATTTTGTTTATCCTAGATCCTTGACATTTCCATATAAATTTTAGAATCAACTTGTCAATTTCTTCAAAACATATGCTGAGATTTTTATTGAGTCAACATTGAAACCATAGATCAATTTGTGGGGATATTGAACATGTGACACGTATTGAATTTTCCAATCATTTTACATGACATATATCTTCATTCATTCAGATCTTGTTTAATTTCTCAGCGCAATGTTCTATCATTTTCGAGGTAGATATCTTGCACATGTTTTGTTTTACTTATTTCTAGGGACATTTAAAATGTTTTATTTTCAAATTCTTTTTGGATAGCATATAGAAATACAATTGATTTTACATACTCACTTTGTATCCTGCAAACTTTATATTAATTTTCTCTTTAGTTCTAGTGTGGTTTTTATAGATTCCTTAGAATTTTCTGTGTATATGATGATGTCATCTGTGAATAACAACTTCTTTTTCTCCAATGTCTATGCTTCCTCTTTATTATTTCTGACCTTATTGCATTGGCTTGGATCTCTAGTATTCTTTTAAATATAGGTAGTAGGCGAGGACAACCTAGTCATCTTCATGATCTTAGGGAGAAAAGATCAATGTTTCACCATATGTTGTTAGCTAGTGGTTTTTTATTTCCTTTCATCAGATCAAGGAAATTATCTTCTATTCCTTGCTTGGTAGGTTTTTGTTTTTTTTTTTTTAATTATAAATGGTTGTTAAATTTTATTTCCCAACTTAAGGGGTTTTGCCAGAAATTTTACTCAATACCTTAGACTTGCATCCAATTGGCTGGCACTCAGTTACACGACCAGTTAACTACAAAGGAAGCACATTACTACCTGCCCCTCCAAAATCAGCATTTTGTCATGAGACAGAAAAAGGTGGCATCTAAGATCAGTTCCTGCAACACTGAATACATAGAATAAAAAGTAAGGTATGATTATTGTTATTAATTGCTTATTTCACTTGTAAAGGGAAATAAGCTTGGGGCTAGCAACCTCTTAAATACCTATCATAAAAGCATTGCTAATGCTTTTGGTCCCTTTTATAAAAATCACAGAATATTCTACCTGAATACAATTTGTACTTAGCTCTTTGGTATACTGTGTGTCTTTCCCCTACAATAAGCTTCCATAGAGAGTTCAGTAGGGTAATTTCATCTAGAATTACAAAGTACCACCTCTGCCCCAGGGGGTATATTTAAAATCATTCCTCATGTCACAGATCAGGAAAGAAGTAGCAACATGCTGTACAATAATAACCATGGGAACCAATGAGTGTGGAGTGTTACCAGAGAAAATAACTAAAATTAACAATGTTGAATGGCTCAGCTAAACTGGCAGCTCAGCATCTCAAACTAACAATGAGACCTTGTCCTTAATCAGGCTTCCAGTAAATGAAAGCAGTTTGGCTCATTTATTTAGGTCTGACTGTATCTTATTCATGCATTCATTTATTCATTCATTTGTTCAACAAAAAGTTACTGAGTTCCAATTATGTACCAAGCAATGGGCTAGGCAGGGGGATATTTGGAAGAAAAGACCTGGTCCCAGTTCTCAAGTAGCTGAAATCCTTTGGGGAAGCAGTTACATGGTATTGCGGGGTGATTAAGCACAAGGGCTTCAGGGTGAGCCCTGGATTCGGTCTCGATTCATATATTCACTAATAATGTGACCTTAGGCGAATCATTTCATCTCTCAAGTCTTCAATGTTTTTTCCTCTGTAAGTCTGGAATAACAATACCAATCACAAAGAGTGGTTTTAAGAATTGAATGAGTTAACGAATGAAAGCATTTGGCATTGTGCTTGACCATGGTAACTTCTCAATAAATA